GGGGGGGGGGGGGGGTTCAGGCTGCCAATTTTAAGCTGTAAGCCATCTGGGGCAGAGACCTGTTGTCTTACAATTTGTGAAGGGTCAGACCCGCCGGTGGTCCGAAAGCAAGATTACGTTTTTCACCTGCCCAGGATCCCGCTTCTCCCATGCCGTCCCCAGTGCGGGAGGAACACAAGGAAGGGAAAACGCATCTCATGGAGATGAACCAGGCAGGGAGAGGGGCACTGCCATGGGGCGGAAAGGGCTGCCCCCGCCCAACCCAGGACAGGAGAAACAGCGTTTCTCGGGGGGAAGGAGATGGAAGCGGGGAGGGGGCCATCCGAAGAGCCAAGACACTTGCTGGGGTGGACCGGCTGAGTGGCAAACCGGTGGGAACGTCTCCCCCTGAATCTCGGCATGTTTCCTGTTTCCTGTTTCCGGCTCCTTGTCGGGGGGCAAAGAGACAATTCTTCTTCCAGCACCTCCGGGAAGTAACGTCCCTTGATTTTACTTTCGGAAACAGAGAGAAGATGGTGTTGCAAACAACGCTCCCCAAGACTACGGCTGATAATCCAGCTTGTATTTGCCGGTATTCAGCACTGCGTGTCATGTTCGGATTCTCGGATAAATTATTCCGTAAACGTGGATTTAGCCTGGAAACCGGCCAACGGGGCTTCCCTCCTCATGATCTGTGCTCCTGCTGGCCTCGCCCTTTTCTCCATCTTCTTCCTCTCCGAAACTCTGCAGAAAACCCAGCAGTGCAGCAGTTACCAGCGACAGAATGCAATTTCCTGGACCCTGTTTGGCAAACAGAGCCTCACTTTCACACTTCCATCCTACTCAGGACTATGACATTTACAGATTCTTCAACCACAAACATTCAAAATTTTGCAATCAAACTCTGCAGGAAGCAAAGCAATCTGATTTCCCTAATTTCTACTTTCTGTCTTGGAACCCAAAATAATGATTTATTCTCACTGTTTGAAATATTATAATCCTTGCAAGCAGCTTGGAATAAAACAAATGTGATGGTTGTGGGCTAAACTTGACATAAAGTTTAGGGAGTCATTGCACTTAACATTCAGGCTCTTTTTAATGTGGATATCATTTTAAAATAGACACAGGCAATCCATCTTGTGAGGGTGCTATTTGTCCTAGGCTACAGGGAAGAGAGAATTTGCATGAGGACGACATTTTCACGGAAGGATACATTGCGTAAACGGCGATCGGCCAGATTTTGAACTTGCCTGCAACAGCCACAATGCCACCGGTCAGTAAAACTGAAAACAAAAGAGAGAAAGAGAATTCATTTCGTCTGTGATTACCCCATTCACTTTTCGATCCCCCATGCGCATTTCAAATCCAAAATTAAGCAAACAAGGAACTTGCATCAACGGCTGAACCCAGATGAAATGGCAGATGGAGAGGAACTTTGCATACATACACGTTTAGGAAATATACTAACCTGGCTTTTAATCATCTTTAAAAGGCCCAAAGAAAGAAATGTACACCTCAAGCAAGGGACAGGGATTCAACTGATTTGCGACAGAAGCCGCGCAAAAAGGAATTCTCGCTTCTTCCCCGCATTCCTCTCTGGAATTCCTTGCCACAAGAGACAGGGTGTTTCTGAACACCAGCTACTGGGGAAGAGCAGTAAAATGTGGGGCCAAACCTCTCATGCGTTTCTGTGCCATCCAAAGCATCTGGGTTTCTGGTCTGAGCCGGTACCTCTGACACCAGCCAGGAGAACAGGGCAGCCCTTTCCCAGCGGGGCCTCCTGGGTGTGTTGGGCTCCAGCCCCCGTCATCCGCCAAAGAGGACCGAGCCGAGTGCCTCACAGTCCCATGATGCTCAATGAAGTCTGGGGCGGGGGTGAGGATAAAACGGAGCAGAGTATCCTGGGAAAGGGCAGCACCGATGCTCTGCGCTGCAGCATTCTGTGGCAGGCACGGAAGGGTGGGGCGTGCCTGCGCCCTCCTTGGGGGTTCAAACTCCTGGGAGAATCCGGATCCTGGACTGGGCTGGACTGATGGGTCTTTTCTCCAATCCAACCCCAGGGCCCCCTCTGGGCCGTTATGACTCACCCGGGCCCCGGCAGAGAAAGGCGGGCAGCTGTTCTGCTTGGCCGCCCTTTTGGGGAGGCAGAACCAGAAAGGGGGAAGTGAAAGCCGCCCCCTCCCGCAGCCGCACCATCTGCCTCCTCTTGCGGAGGGTCAACCAGGAGCCCACATGCAGGCTGTGTTCATGCAAAGGCCTGGCACAGCACTAGGGCATGAGCTGTCTTCCACTCGCCTGGGACAAAGGGTGTTGGATCCATTGCTCAGGCTGGATGAGCCCCACATCATGGGCCTACTTTGAGGAGGAAGTGCTCAGCATGCACGTCTCCCAACAGAGACGTTGTTGGGGGGGGGCAGGAGAAGCCGCCCTCTGCAAAAATATTTGCTTTCCTCTTGGGTTTGATAACACCTTAAAGAAAGGAGCCTAAAGGTCCCTCTGAGCCCCCACTGCAGGAAGGAGGCAGGCGGAGCTGGGGGGGCATCAGATGAAGAGGAACAGGGGGTCCCGGAGGCATGCTTGAACCACTGGGTTGGGGAGGGGGCAGCGCACAGGCCCTGGGTGGCCATCACAGCCTATGGCTAACAATGCAGGCAGGAAGGGCCCTGCAGAAAGGACTCCCTGCCCCATGTGGTCTTCAGAAATGGACTCCGGGGGATCCCCACGTCCTTCAGAAGAAGGGGGCGAGCAGGTTATCCCCCTGCGGCAAAGCCAACCAGGGGAACTTTCCAAGCCATCTGCTTCTTCAGAGCCCCACCGGGCCTGCCATCTGCTAGAAAGTCCCTGGAGCAAGTCCACCACGGCTTGGGCCACACGCCGAGTGGGGCTGTGCATTTCTCCTCCACCTGCTGCCCTCCAGAGTTCCTGGACCTGCAATTCTCTTCTGGGGGTGTCCAATCCATCTGCGGGGGCAGCCCAGGGAAGGCCAGTCGGGGCGTTCAAAGACCCCGTCTCCTTTTGCCTCCGTCGGGAGAAACTTGGCCTTGCTTCAGACACAGAGAGAGGGTTCCAGCAGACGGGCTCTTCTCTTCTCTCCCTCAGCGTTAGCAGGAACCCCAACCTGTTCGGGCACCCCATAATCTCCTTTTCACATTGCCCTCGGATTCGGTTACAACACAGGGAAGTAATGGAAGCACTCCATATGTTAAAAATCTCTTGCTGGGAAACCCAAAGAGTTTTGGGATACAAGTTTGGAATAAAAACTTCTGGAACTACAATATGAACAATTGTGCTCATCTGCTATTAATTTCTCTCTACCGTGAAGAGTTCAAGGGATGTAACTTCAAAGGAGAACAAGTGATTACCTCTCCCCTTATAACCTTTGGGGGGATATTTGGTGAATCCACACCTAAGGTTTAACCAGTTGCAGCAATCAGGGAGCAGTTTGCTAACTCCCCCCTGCGTGCCACTTGGCTGACTTGGGCAAATTATCTGCCTGTCCAATTAACCAGCAACTTTCTGTTGTTAACCTGTGAAGCTGAGCAGTGACTGAAAGGGGGCAGGGCAGGGGGCCTTTGGGATTTAAAAAAAGAAGGAAGAAGTTTTATTTCCTCCTTCTCCATCTCCCAAAGGAGCTCAGTCCTCTGAGACTTGAGTGTGCAGAGAAAGCAAAAGTGCCCGAAAGGACGTGCCAGATCACTCCTGAGCAATGGCAGAGTTTCTTCAAAACTTCCTTCCCCTTATTTTCACGGGCTCTACTTCCTCCCTCCTGCAACTGAAAGCGCGTCTTTCTCTGTCCAGGCGAGCCA